TTTTTTTTTTATGTTATACCACTTTTTTTTAAAGGCCCATGTTGAAAACCACGTTTTTAATTGTGAAAAGTGTTATTCAGGCTAAATAAATTTAAATCTAATAAATGAATAAATAATTGAATAGTTTTTCCAAAAATATAACAAAATTAAAACTAGGCAAACAAAATCACAATTTTGAAATATCAAATAAAATATTTAGCATTAGCGCTAAACAATACAAAAAAATAAATAAATAAAAACTAGCACAATAAAGAATTTCAATCAGAAAGGCCAATTAAAAATCATAGTTCTGCTAGTCAAACGAAAGTAACAAACAAAAATACATTAATAATGATATGTCGTGGCGTGTTCTAGGATCCGTGGGTAGTGTCAAAGTGCGCGCCCCAAGCCCTTGGTATTGACATCCAATTTGTTTCACTATGTACGGTATGTGTAGTTTTAAATTGGATGTTTGTAATACTATATGGTTTTAAATTTCTGTAATTAACGATGATTTATTGATTGATTGATTGTCTATGCTCTAAAGTCAAGTTTCCCCCCGCTACGTCACTATTGTTGGCGACGTCGTTGACATCACGATAAGTATTACCGTATCATAATCTTTACCACCATTGTTATCCTTATGTTTATAATCATTATTATTATTTGACTTGTTTGTATGGTTGGAGACATCGAATATACTATTCATAATAGTTATTTATAAAATTATTTAATTAATAATATTGATAATAATAGGCCTAATATTAAACATAGATTTTATAAATCGTAAACCAATAATATAATAGTATATAGATACGCGCATGTTTCACATGTATAATTAGAGACAGAACCAATTATAAAACATTCAACCCCACTCCCCGGTCCCCGGTGAATATTCATATTTAGTCAGGAACCAATTACTCAAGGATAGTGAAAAATAAACGTGCATAAAGTGACGTTACATAATTTATACGATATATTCGATTATTGCCGCAAGTTATTACACTGATAATGGGTGCCATGTCCTCGATTAACTCCCAATCGCGTTCATTACATTCAAGATTGCTTAATATAAGTTATCCACACGTAACTGTGATTGCTTTTCATAGAATCATATGAATTTAATATTCATTGTAAATAGTTTGGTTAAATAAATCAATACGAAAGCAGCATTGTTAATATTTGTGAAGACTGTTTTTGTAATTATATAATACAGTAGCGAAATCAAGAAATTTTTGAAAAGTTAAGAAATGGAGAGAAAAAGACAAATTATAATAAAATTTAAGTCTGAGAGTGCCAATTCCGACCATCAAGAGGTGCCATATCCACTAAATTTCGTACGCCACCCCTACCGGACCCTCCATCTGCAAAAGTACCTCATTGTTCCCCTCTATTTAGAATTCCTGGATCCGCCACTGATATAGGTAGGGCCTTCAAATACTATCGTATAAAGTCTCTGTTATAGGCCTTCTTAAGTACACACAGCTCCACGTAAATTACAAAAATGACGTCACTGCACTGACTACCCGACCAAAATGATCTTTCACCGAATGCAGATCAAAACAGTTGATTCTTTATCGTCATTTATTCTGGATCCAAAACGGATAGGCATAGCTCTTACATTATTATAAACTGCACAAAGTGCTGTAAACTCGTTAGGAAGCTTGTGCAAACGCAATAGTTGAACAGGTGTAAACGCGTTAACTTGTGCAAAACGCGATAGTTAAACTGATGTAAATGCGTTTGGTAAAATGCCCTAAACCGTTAGGTAAGAGCTGTAAGCTCTACCCACTGTCTCTAAATCGGAAACTTGATTTTAGCGTGTACATGACGCTTGTTGAAGTCTCTGCCGATCTTGGATAATGTGAGCTGCTTTTGAAGCACAGAATTCGCAGGAAAGCGTGTCTAAAATCCATATTTAACATGGCTGTCTCTTATACACATAGTTCTTTGAACTTATTTGACCTCCATCCACACACATGTTTATTTTTATATTATTTAATTAATTTTACCTATATTGTATTTTTAATTTTATATGATTTGATGTGTGTGGAAAAATTAAATAAACAAACAAACAATAAATTTGTCATTCTAAATCAGGCACTCATGAATATCAAATTTTCAGTAATGGATTACTTAAACTTTGAATATTATATAGAATAACCATGAATCTTATCATATTATGCCCACGCAACTCATTCATACATATCAAATAGGTCTGTATTTCAAAACAGGGTCATGGACAAGTGTCAACAATACGTCAACATTAAGTGTCAACAATACGTCAAACACACGTGTTGTTCCACAAACGCGCGTGTACGTTTACTCTATTGTTTTGTGGGCAACAATATCCAAGGGGCGGGGCTTGGCGGAAAAGTGTAGGTATTGATATAATGAATTGAATATGTAAGAAGTAATTAATAACCATTAATATTCAACATGTAGGCCTACGTCATAATATGCTTTTTTTTTTTAATCAATGTCTTGCCCTAGGTTACTTGAATTGAACTTTATTTTAAGCTTCTACAAGCTTTCACGACAGGTGCATCATTAACGATACTTGAATGTTCCTCTACATATCAACATGCATTGAATTAAAAAAAAAGAACTTATACAAGATTGTTTATTGATCACAATAACTGCCGTTAATTGAATAGTTTGTCACCAAAGCAACCGTTGTTGATGACGGTCATGGTAGCGGTTACAAATGTGAAGTTTAAGTGAAATTGGAGTAAATAATCTTAGTTCACCTCAAATTGCATTTAATTTAAGCTCTATTGATCAAGTTAATCTCTAGCCGCAATCTTTCTCGACAGAAATTATGGGTATATATGCACTTTAAGGAAATTAATCAATAGCGAAGGTAGTAACGAAGGGTGGGGAAATGCGGCTTGCACTTCTTCAATTAATCCATCGAAGCTTTTGAAATAATAGGAAGGCTTTTGTAGTATCAGATGATACGTCATAATTCATTTTAAGGCAGCAACCATCCTTCTTTGCTGATTAAATATGAACATCCCGTGACCTATTGCCTGATTAAATGTAATCTACATGTGGCTTCGTATCGCAGGATTTGACCCTGTAGTCAGAGGCCCAGAGGCCCTAGGCCTCATATCGACGCCGGCCGATCAATTAGGGAGACCGTATTCATTCTATCCATGTTAAAAATATAATGAACAGCTTCATAATGATTTAGATTATATAGATTAGAAAATTTTAATTTATCTGAAGAAAAATGATGGTTGGTAGCCGCTGATAGTGTCGGTTTAACGGAGTCGTAAGGGGATGACGTTGGTAGTCGTTGTCGATCCTAAAGGAGCCGTAAAGGGATGAAGTTGGTAGTCGTTGATAGTGTCGGTTCTAGCGGAGCCGTAAGAGGATGAGGTTTATAGTGTCGGTCTAACGGAGCCGTAAGAGGATGTGAGTCTGGTAGTCGTTGTCGGTCCAAACGGAGCCGTAAAGGGATGAGGCTGGTAGTCGTTGTTTGACGGAGCCGTAAGGGGATAGGGTTTGGTAGTCGTTGATGTTGTCGGTCCTAACGGAGCATTAAGGGGATGAGTTTCGTAATCGTTGATAGTGTCAGTCTTAACGGAGCCGTAAAAAGATGGGGTTGGTCGTTGATAATGTCGGTCCTAACGAATTCGTAAGGGAGTGAGGTTGGTAGTCTTTAATAGAGTCGGCCTTAAGGGTTTTGTAAGGGAATGAGGTTGGTAGTCGTTGATATTGTCGGTCCAAACGGAGCATTAAGGGGATGAGGTTCGAGTCGTTGATAGTGTCGGTACTGACGGAGCAGTAAAGAGATGAGCTTGGTATTCCTTGATAATGCCGGAGCCATAAGGGAATGAGGTTGGTAGTCGTTAATATTGTCGGTCCTAACGGATCCGTAAGGAATGAGGTTGGTAGTCGTTGATAGTGTTGGTCTTAACGGATCCGTAAGGGAATGAGGAATGAGGAATGACCCCGCGAAATTTCTGTGTTCTAGACATCCGAAAATAACATTTGAGGCGTTCTGTGCTATCATTTTTTTTCTATTTTTTTCTTTTCTTTACTTCTCAAAAAGGTCGGGCCAAATCCGCCCATGAAATCGGTAGTCGTTGATAGCGTCGGTCCTAACGAAGCCGTAAGGGGATGAGGTCGGTAGTCGTTGGTAGTCTCGGTCCTAACGGAGCCGTCAGGGGGTGAGGCTGGTAGTCGTTGATAGTGTCGGCCCTAATGGAGCCGTCAGAGGGTGAGGCTGGTAGTCGTTGATAGTGTCGGCCCTAACGGAGCCGTCAGGGGGGTGAGGTAGGTAGTCGTTGATAGTGTCGGTCCTAACGGAGCCTTAAACATGTGAGGTCGGCAGTCGTTTATAGTGTCGGTCCTTACGGAGCCGTCAGGGGTGAGTTTGGCAGTCGTTGATAGTGTCGGTTCTAACGAATTCGTGGAGTGGGTGAAGTAGGCAGTCATTGATAGTGTCGGTCCTAACAGAGCCGTCAGGGGGTGAGGTTGGCAGTCGTTGATAGTGTCGGTCAAACGAAGCCGTAAAGTGATGGGGTTTTGTAAGTAGTCGTTGATATAGTGTGGGTCCGAACGGAGCCGTAAGTTGATGAGGCTGATAGTCCTGAGACAGTCGTGCGTAATACTATTCTTGGGACATCTGCTATCACGTCTGCTACTCACTAACAATTAAAGTTCGTGAAAGGACACAATATTTTAAACATATGTCCAGTTAACGGCCCTTTGAAGATTGTAACAACATGATATGTAATATTGGCGGTATACATGGTTAGGAAATTATAGCGATAAACGACGTAGATAGCTAGAAATCGTATCAAAGGGTATGACTTTCTTAAAAACTCTAATGGTTATTCGGGTCATGAAATACGCTTACGTGGGAGATGTCTATACGCGCATGGCATAGGAAGACATAGTGTAGACATTTTTTCAGAGCTTTTGAAATCTACATAATGCACATTGATCTAAACAAGTTCAAGATGTACTATGAAATTGTGTCATAAATTTACACTGTAATTATCACTGAGTGCGTACAATACGATAATCTGTTATTCACAGAATGTTATAGGCCTTCTTAAGTACACACAACTCTACGTAAATTACAAAAATGACGTCACTGCACTGACCACCCGACCAAAGTGATCTTTCACCGAATGCAGATCAAACCAGTTGATTCTTTATCGTCATTTATTCTGGATCCAAAACGGATAGGCATAGCTCTTACATTATTATAAACTGCACAAAGTGCTGTAAACTCGTTAGGAAGCTTGTGCAAACGCAATAGTTGAACAGGTGTAAACGCGTTAACTTGTGCAAAACGCGATAGTTAAACTGATGTAAATGCGTTTGGTAAAATGCCCTAAACCGTTAGGTAAGAGCTGTAAGCTCTATCCACTGTCTCTAAATCGGAAACTTGATTTTAGCGTGTACATGACGCTTGTTGAAGTCTCTGCCGATCTTGGATAATGTGAGCTGCTTTTGAAGCACAGAATTCGCAGGAAAGCGTGTCTAAAATCCATATTTAACATGGTGTATATGCAAGGATTGATGGCTGAAGATACATAGCCTAGCCAAGTAAAAATGACAAATAATTCCATTGGTACGTTACAAGACGTACATATCGCTGTGGTTAAATGAATCACAAAGAATGGTAACCAAAGCACCACGAAAAATACGAATACTAAGACTAATGTTTTCGCTGCTCTGCGTTCACGTTTACTTGTTAACACTTTCATTGTGCGTTTCACTGCCTCGCCGCTTATCGTGGAGTTGCGTGCCGAACTCAACTTCCTCGCACTTATACTCGCACGCGTGGCACGGCGCATTGTATACTGGTATCCGTTGGAGCTGCTTCTATCGGAGGAGCTTGCCTCCCCTTTGCCGTCCAGCATCGGTTGTGCGCTTGACTTTGCCGCCATTTTCAGAGACAGGCGTAACTTTCGTCCTCGTAGTTTCCGCACAGCACGAACGTCGACGACAATCATAATTGCTAAAGGCAGATAGAAAGAACACATAGATGAGTAGATAACGAAGACTCGATCAAAGTAGCCGCACATATTTTCACGAAGAACATTCTGCGGATTAATAGCACCCTGAACGAATAAAGGTAATGAAATTCCTAACGAGACAATCCATACCGGGATGATTGTACCTAGTATACGGGAACGAGAGTTCACCCTGTCCCGCGAATACAGTAATGGAAATGTTACGGCTAGGTACCGATTAACAGCAATGGCACACAGATGAAGAATGGAAGCCGTGCAGAGGAGGACGTCCAGCGTTAAATAGGTTAAGCATATGCTTAGTCCAAGATTCCATGTACCGGTAACCTGCAATGAAACATAATGAATAAATGTTAGGTCTCAGTTTACTGTATTATTGCAGTTAAATGATAAGGTTTTGGGTTTTCCACAGTAAATCATTTAAACGCGTTTACACAAAATGCAAACTAATTGGCATACGCCAGACACCTCAGTAGATTTTGAGTGTGAACACATAAAACCGCAAACAACTGTCGAGACGCGAACTATAGCCCCAATTCAGAATCTTCCAATGCTCAATTATGGAACTAGTTTTCAGCACGTTAAGTTTGCGTCTACCATGCCAATTTTAAAGAACTTAGAAACATACTCGTTTATTGGTTTTATTTGATCTGGATAATTAATTTTGTTATTTTACTTAGTGGTAGCAGACCTATAATCAATGCCATAGGCGCCATTTACTTGACAGATACCCAGCGCTATCGGTAAAAAATTCAGTAAGCCTATTATTATTTTGTTTATTTGAGCTTATATTTTATATTTTTATTTTTTTTTTACTTTCCTGCGTGGACTGTAAACCAGTATATCCTGGAATTATGTATTGCCAATTTCTTTTGTACATTTTATTGAAAGACATGTGAATAAAGAATGATACACCATCCTGTATTAAGGAGTTTGTTTGTTTGTTTAGGCTTATACCTTTGTCCAATCATTTTCTTTATGAATATTTTCAATAAAGATTTCGAAGTGGTATTGAAATTGGCAATCCTTAGTTCAATCGGAGGCCGTGGGGACACGTGTTATGACGTGCTGAACGCTGGGTACGAATAATTCAAATATGACGCATGCTGTCTAAAGGAAAATTAAAATGTCTAAGATATGACATATTATGACCGTGAACATATTCAACTTAAAAATACATACTTTACATGCAGTTCATAAAAGCGGAAATCGAGCCAGGCCGCAGCTGGTGTAATACTAGTTATGACTTTTAACTTCCGCTGTTATCGCAAAATCAATGCGTTATAAAATTTGAACGTGGAACGCGAGGCTGCAGGATTGGAGCCAAAATGGGGCGTATTGTTATTGCAATACAAATCGATGACATGTAGAAAATAAATACGCGCCCGTCAAGCAGACGATAATCGACATAACAATTAGTCAATATTCTAAGGGAACAAACTCACTTTCTTTGCAACACTTAAACTGTCTTAAAGGCATGCCCATGAAATTTTAGCAGAGTCACATTGCGTTAACCGCGATATTGATTCGATTAATGACACAGTCGTGTACTAAGCGATGGGTGGCGGGATGAACTAAGCCCATGTTATGTTACCAACCATTAACACAACGCATTGATATTGATGATGAATTTCTTGATAATTAAATTCTAATTATTATGTATTATAAGTGCGCTACATCACGTCATGTGCATTTATTTCTGGTAATGACTTGATTACGCCAATCTTGATTACAGTATTGGCTTGTTGGATTGGTTTGGACTTTATCGGGGTGATGATTCTAATGATGATGATGATAACGATGTGAATAATAAATCATATCCGCAATATCGACCTATTTAAAAGTAACATATATCGCCGCTATACAATTGTTACGTGAAGTACGACGATACCGTAATAATGGTCTGTAGTGACACACACTTCTGCCGCTGGGCCGCTGTTTCTGATAGTTCGGCACCAGAGGAGGCTGCGCCTGGTCCATCATAATTGTGGTACTAATTCAGTAACATCTCAATTTTTTTGACCATCGAAGTGATTTAGAAAAATAATAATTATGTTCTAAACCAATTAGGCTACCTTCTCTAGCTGCTCACGCATGCGCAAGTATTGCTATGTACATTACCATATCATATCACGTGTTGCGACAATAATATATGACATTGTTGATATTGAACTATTATAATTCCTAATTAGAAGTTATTCATATTCGGCTAACATAAATTTTCTTCCAAATTAGCTATCATATCGCAAAGATTCAACCATCTAGTGAAATATGGACCTACTTTAAATCATGTAGTATGATTAATGGTAGCTAATACAACATTAATGATATAAAGTTGTACTGATATCTTGCGTAGCGTGTATGGAATATAGGCCTGGTACCATTACTGACGTCATCATTATCTTCCAAGAGAGGAGTGAATATTAAAACGTGATAGGCCTATGAAAATCAGAGAATGTTATGCGTTCGGGTTGAGATTAATTTACACTAAGTGATATAAGCAACTAGCAAACGCAATCAAGTAACATAGTTAATGTTCTATTGAAACCCATAAAGGCAGTAGCCTGATGAAATTATACTGAAATCGATTTTAATGATGAATATATACACCCGATTATTTCCGACTTTTTTGGGCTAACCAGACAAAACGTGCAACGTGTCAAACGTTTACTTTTAAATTGTCAGATAGAGGAAGTAATCCACATGATTTAGCTATTAAAATCCCACTTTAAACAAACGAAAAGCTCATATTTTATTATTTAACTCATTTAGTACATTTTTAGTACACCTATAATCGCAAAATGTGCTACTAACGTCATAGTGCCATCACACCAATGTTCGGACCACGATCAAACTGTAGTACTTAGTAGACGATGACGTAGTTAATTGACGTGAAACTCGTTTTGTGTGCACGTGTAATGTCGTCGAACTTTAAGCGTCAATAAAGATGAAGTTAGGAGAATAACCCATAACTCGCAGCGGCGTCATTGTGATGAATTTGATACCGGTATGGGCGTAGCCCATGACTACCTAGCCGCCATAAAGAGGTGCCTGTAGTAGCCACATCATTCCACAACGGAGGGGCTGAAATGAATCATAGCATTGGGGTAACCCCCCACCGAAAGTTGCAATGGGTTTTTAAAGTGCACACGAACCAGATGTATACACTGGACCTCCATTTTAAGTCTTAGGCCTATTAGAAAAGATTTGGTTCTACCAACTGAACCCTGGGCGTGGAGCGGCTCAAATCAGCGACGACGGTATGGCTGAAGTAGCGACGCCCCTGCTACCGCTCGGCCACTCGATCACAGTTCTTTATACTGGGAAACCTATTCAGTAGAGAAATCTGTATGCCTACTGTTCTCTAGTCTCGCAGCTTTATGGCTTAAGGCTACTGGAGTTGTTTTAAGTCGTGAGCAAAAATCCAGTCACATGAACAGAGCCCATATTGCAGGATGGGATTTGAAGGTAAGCACCTTTCCACCGCATGGCTGCTCCACGGATGAAGTGGGGACAATTCTATTACAAAATACACATGCATTATAAGGTCCGAAACATGTACAAGTGTGCGACAGTGCTGTGTGTGTGCAGATATTATCAATGGTTTTTATTTTAATTAATTATATTTGTTTAACCCATAGTTGCATAAAGAAAAACACAAAAAACAAACATTATGTATTACGATATTAGAGCAAAAAGAATACCGATGTTTCGGGGCTGTATTTGGAAGTAAGTATACTCCACCTAATGAGGATCAAATCTAAATAGTATTCCATAAGGATTCGACAGATAGGCCTAGGCCTAATCAACAAATTTGTAAAAGTAATTCATTATGCACGTGTACACGTGAATGATTTGCTATAATTGCGTCCCGTTGTTAATGTAAACGCGTTAAAAATAAAACACTCAATAATCATCGTATTAAAGGCGCTGTTCGATGAATTTTTCATTGCATGAGACTATATTATTGCAGTCTGCGTCGAGTGATCGTCTCAACCCATTTCTAAAATAGAAACTATTAGATCTATTATGAGAAACGCATGGACGAATATGTGTGTCATCCCGCCTATTAGGTGCCGGTGTGAAAATAATACAAACAAATTATTTAGGTGCAATGATAACACTATAAGACAAATGTGAATTTCAAATGGCGCGAATATAATGCCAAACTGAGAAAAAACTTAATTTATATCGTCTGCTATCATCGCTCATCCAGATGGAAAGTTTTGTAGTGCGATTAATTATTTTCTGTATAGATTCGTTTTGATATGTGTGAATGGATTTATTTTTTGCAAAAACCACGTCCGTCAGCAGGCCTATGACCGGGAGAGGTGTTCTATGATTTGTTTAGGCCCTACGGCCCTTTCAAAACCACGTCGAGGTGAGTTGGACTGGACTACAGGCGGAAAAACTTCTAATTCCAGAAAAGGTAAAACCGGATAAGTTCAAGATATTTGTACACCACATAATCACCGAAGATGGATGATCTATATAGGATATAATCTTTCGTAGGATGCTAAGCCAAGTTTTTTTATCTTTAGGTTTAATGTCTATAGTGAGTTGGAGTTCTACCGTCCATGTTTGCTGCAATCCTTGCTAGAATTAAGTTTGCTTATTTTCAGGATTATAAGCAAATGTCTGTCGATGTTTTTGTTTATTTCATTAGAACAGTCTTAGGTTTTAACTGGATAACGGAGTACACATTCATCCTTGTTTGTGATATGAATGAAAACATCCTGAGTTGTTGCTGGTGCACCCGTTATGCAGTACCAACTGGACGCTAATTATATATACACACGCGTAAAACACGTGTAACTGGCAGCCCTGATCGTGTTATACACCAGAGACAACAAAAGGCAAAATAATTGAGAAACTTAAGTAGTAATATAATCTAAAGGTCAAAACGTCTGATATTATCTGTACTCGTCAAAGGTCAATCAATGTTTGGAAATCAAATAACTTGAGTAGTTTTGTCAAACGGTACAGCACATCGAATACGCTGCTGAAGATGATTAAACGTTATATCCGTAAGAATAACCAAAAACCTCTATTGTTGACAACCTCGAGGTGAATTATGCTTCGGTATCTGCACATGCGCGCACTATCCATTAGTGAAGCAGTACAGTATACATAGGATGACACAATAATGACGGGCGTGGAAAAAAAAACACCTAGCACTGTAGTTCATCGTTTTAATCAAGGAAAAAGTTAAGTGCCGAAACGGTCACTCACATTCAAGCCTAAGGCTCTGTCCAGATGATCAAATTTTATTTGACAAAACACTGTCGTATGCCCGTAGGCCTATATAGCCATGATTTGCCTATATA